TTGCAGACCTATGCTTTCTGCCAGGCTCACAGCTATGACGCCCTGGTCGCCATGACTATCTTCTTCAACGCGCACAACGAGCCAGTGCGGCAGCTGGCTGTTTTCTGTCCCCACGCAGCACTCCGAACGACAGTGAGTCTCGCTCTCCTCCAGCCTGCACATGCCGCCCTGCGCTGTGAAGACCGCCCCTTGGTTCTTACATGTACACACAGGCCCCTTGACCTCTTTCCAGAATCTCCCCTCCCACTTTTTCCATCTATGTCTATGTGAATTCCCCTAATCATATTGTTGTGGAGAAAGAGAGACTCCGAAAAGAATTAGAGATGGAGTTCCTACTTAGAAGAGATCTGAAAATCAGGTTAAAAGTGAATGTAAACGAATCTGGAGTTAAACTTGATTCTTTGTTGAATCATGAACTCCTCACCCCTGAAAGTCAATTCCTTTCTCTTTACCCGATCGCCCTGGACAGGGGCAAGAACTTTTTCTACTACTCACCCTGTGGGGAGTAATCACTGTATAGCACTGACTGTGGGGAGGTGACGGGAGCAGGTTTGTTTTCTTGCGTGGGCTTCCGTTTGGCCCCTTTCCCAGCTCCTCCCCTTTCTTTTCTTCTGTTGGTTACTCATTCGCCCCGGGAAGAATTTGAAAGTGGACCTAAGGCAGTCCAGGGCCTCTTTGGGTGGCTTGGGCTGTGTGATGACTGCTGAAGACTGGTCTGAATACAGCCAGGTAATCCTTTGAGCCTGTAAAAGGTGCGCCCGCCCTTTCCCACACCTTTGTCTTCTCCTCGAGGAAGCGAGTGTAATTCATTCAGTGGAAGGAAGTTGGGCACTGTGGAAAGACTACAGTTTTTAAAGGCAAATAGACGTGCTTTTCTGTCCCAGATTTGCCACTTACTTTCTCTTTGAGCTAAAGCAAGTCAGTTGACTTCTGAGCCTGTAAATAGCATAATATTACCTCCTAATTAGTCGGATGTGATCATTAAACATAATGTATGAATAGTACATTGCTGGGCACAAAGTAGACACTGGGTAAAAGGTGGCTCCTACTATTCATGCCATAAAGGAAAAGGTACTTTGGCCAGTAGAAGTGCCTCCCCCCACCTTCCTGTTTCTCTCCCCCTTCTTCTGACCACAGCCCCTCGGTGCTGCTCCCTGGAGCTGTGATGGCACTGCCATGGCCCAGGCTGCCCGGTGCTGGGAAATGGGCCCTCTTCTCACAGTCAGCCCTACCATTGCCTCTCTTCCTCCTGTTTTAGGAACACAGTGATTCAGAACACCAGCTTTGGTGACCGACCTGGGTTTCAGTGTCAGCTTTGCTTCCTTCATACTATGACATTAGGAAGTCACCTGATCTAAGCCTCAGTTTCCCTACCTGTGTGTGAGGGTAATAGCAATACCAATCTAATAAAGCAATTGTGAGGGTTAAATGAGGTAATATAGTATTGATAAATGGCCAGATTTGGCACCATCCCTGGCATACCTCCCATCCTCACTTTGATCTATTCATTTTTTTCTGCCTCTGTCCTTCCCTTGACCTCAGTATAGATACATGTCCCGTACCTAAATTGCAGTGCAGGCTCGATCCCTGACCCCATCGGGGCATGTGCAGGAGGCAGCCAATCAATGTGTCTCTCTCACATCAATGTTCCTGTCTCTCCCCCTCACTTGCACGCTCTAAAAATCAATGGGAGAAAAAATATCATTGGGTGAGGATTAACTAACTAACAAATAAATAAATAAATAAATAAATAAATAAAATACTATGTATATTAGCTGATATGCCTTTTGTTGCAAGCAATAAAGCTTAACTCTGGGTGATTTAAAAATGTTTTCTCCCCTGTAAGAGAAGCCACCAACTTAGAAGCCTCAGCAGTTTGCCTCCGCAGTTTGCTTCACCACCTGAAATACCATTTCCCCGTCTTGTCGCCTCTTTAGATCTGTGGAGTCCTGGAACGGTCGCACTCTCCAGCCCTGAAGCTGACCCCTGCCCCAAGCACTCACCCTAACGTCCAGGCCTATCTTCAAGGCAACACCCAGGTCTCTCGAAAGAAACTTCTGCCTCTGCTCCAGGAAGCCCTGTCAGCATATTTTGACTCCATGACAATCCCTTCAGGGCACCCTGAGGCTGCCAGGGAGCAGGTGGACAAGGAATCGGACAGGGCAGGTACCTCCCTGATTCCTGGACTGAGTCAGGATGAGGAGGAGCCTCCATTGCCCCCCACACCCATGAACAGCTTGGTGGATGAGTGCCCTCTGGATCAGGGGCTGCCTAAACTCTCAGCCGAGGCCATCTTTGAGAAGTGCAGTCAGATCTCACTGTCACAATCCACCGCTGCCTTCCTGTCCAAGAAGTGACTATTGGGAGGGGAGAGGGCGGCGGGCGGGGTTGCTTGAACCACCTCGAATGCATGTTTTGAGAGGCTTCAGCAATTCTGTCTCATTGCTCCAGGGTCTGGTGCACTTGTCCTGTTCTCGTAAATCTGGGAGGAGAAAGAAGTAAGAGAAAGCAGCTGCTTTAGGAATGGCTTTCTACCTTCCCCCCCAATCTCCCCCAGTCAGATTCTGTTATTTAATTTAATTCTTTAGCTCGGCACTGACTCCCCAGGGGTACGAGGTAACTCCTACGCTGTTCCAGCAGCGTGGCACAAAAAGAATGTGCACCCCAACAGCGCCCTCAGCAAGGCTCTAACGGAACCAGTATCTCCGTGGAACCAAACTTGCATTGTCTCCATGTATTCATTTGTTCTCTCATGGATTGAAGTATTGATGGAATACCTACTCTAAGCTCGGCAGAAAATAGAGTGCTTCGGAAACTCTTATTCCAGCTTTCAGCCTTTAGATTTCCAGCTCCATGACTCCTCTTTCTGCCCCATTAGGTAATGGTGTCTGATTCTGAGACGGCTAAATGTTTTTCCTGAACTTACTGTGACTCTTTTAGGATTTGTTTCGGAGCAGGTTAGAGGCCATTATCTTCTGCCCTGATCATGTGGCCTGGCTCTCAGTTTCTTTGGATCCCTTGTTCCAAAGCCACAGGGAGCCGGAAGAAACTCAGAAGACCCCTGAGCGTTCAGGAGGCGCTCAGAAAGGCCTCGTGGGCATTCTCCCCAAAGATGGCAGAACTGCACTGAGAGCCTCAGCTCTGTCCCCTGCCTTAGCGGGTCTGTCAATCTCTTGTCCATGTCATTCTCTTCTTGGTCTGATTACAAGGAAACATGGAGTCCCAATAGGGACTGCCCTGAGCTGTGTGTTCCTTGGCAACACACTTCATCGCTAGGTCTCATGTACTCCATCTATAAAACTAAGGATCTAGACTAGAAGTTCTGTTTTCCCTGGGAGTGCTCAGGGTCACTGGATTGTGTGTATTTATATGTGATTGTACCGAGGGACTCAGCCTCATGTAGCATGTACAGGGGTCTGATTCATGCCCTAGTGATTCAACAAAGAGCTCCCTCCCACTGACTCGTTCTGCATGTGTAGTTCCCTTTTTTCTTCACACCAACCTGTTCCCCCTTTTCCTACCCCCAGGCTCTATTCCATGTAAGTTGCCAACAGTTTCACTGAATAGTGAGGTATGTGATGGTTTTGGCATGATGTCTTCAGTGCGAAGGGGACAACCGTGTGACTTCACTTTGAGGGGATGATGTGTGTAGCCATTGGAAGATAAAAATAGTGGTGTGATTACTGAACCAAAGGAATTTATGTTTTGTAACTTGGGTACTTTATTTTGCATTTTGTTAAAGTATTAAATAATTTTTTCCTGGTTGGGGTCTGAGTGTCTCTTTTTACAACTACAATCAGGCTTTTCCATCAGGTAATTGTTTTAGCCTCCTCAATATTTTCTCCTTTCTTCCTGTTGTACTTAATATCTTCCTTCAGTTCACTCTTGGGAGAAATAAGGAGCAACAGTCTTTTAGCTCTCCCCATCCTCAGCCTTTCCTTCCATATTTGTTTCTACTTCTAGAACCATCCTTATAATATACTCCTGTGTCGCTGATTTTGCTTATTCTCTAAAAGATGTAGGACCAAGATAGTCCTACAACCAAATGGTTTTTACCATTGCCTTTTTTTTTAAAGAGCAGCTACCAGATTATAAGGAGTCTAGAAAGAAGAGCAAATTGCCTCCCGAGAGCCCTTCATGACTGGCCATTTAAAAAAATGTACTCTCCGCCCTGGCTGGTGTGGCTCAGCTGGTTGGAGCGTTCTATACACCAAAAGGTGGTGGGTTCGATTCCCAGTCAGGGCACATACCTAGGTTGCAGGTTCAATCTCCAGTTGGGGCGCATACTGGAGGCAACCAATCGATGTTTCTCTCTCTCCCCCATTCCTCTCTCTAAAA